AGCTCCATTGACCCAATGGCCAGGGATGAGAACCTTTCTGCGTTAGGGGTCCAAGGGGAAGCCCATGAGAGAAACTGCTGTCCTTAGCACACTGGGAACACTGAGAACTGAACCTGGCACAGCTGTCTGTCGCTGGGAGTGATAAGTGTGGCTGGAACACCCTGGCTGTGCTGCTGGCTCAGATGCAGGTCTGGTGCTCAGATCCCTGCAGTCTGGTCCGCAGCAGGCTATGAACTCTAGACCATCTCAAGCCCCTGAAAATCTGATGAAAGTATGAGCCCATCCCCCAGAAAAGCAAGCATGTTTGCTCACACACACATTTTTACGTTTCATTTCGGAAAGAATCAAGATGCCCCAAGCCCAATTTAGTCTCACGGTAAGAATGCCTCGTTTGGTAACCGCCTTACTGTTTGGCAAAACAAACAAACCTATCTGGATCCCTAGTCTGGACCATTTAAATGAACCAGAAGCTTGCATATAAAAGATGATAAACCTTAGGGGACTGTCCTAGGGAGCACTACAGCAGAAGTGAATGAGATGAATTGACAGTGAGCGTTTACAGAGGCATGATCTGAAATCCAGGTGGAAAGAAAGCAATGCAAACAACACAGCCTTTAACCGGACCTGTGCAAGGAGGCAGGACGTGTCCTGGACCCTTCTTTTCCATCTATGGTCTTCCCATTGGCTGTCCCCACACTCTGCGGGAGAGACCTGAACTTACCAGAGCACAATAGACCTCACCTTCAACTAACCCCATCACTGGGTTAAGATCCCACTGAATTGCCGTGCTGGCTAGATTTTTATTTTGTTTGTTTGTTTTTGTTGTGGTTTTTTTTTTTGTTTGTTTATGTGACAACTTGACACAAGCTGGAGTTCTCTGGGAAGAAGAACCTTGATTGAGAAAAATCTATCATTCAGATTGTTTGTCGGCACCTCTGTAGAATATTTTTTTAAAAGTTAATATTGGGTGTGGGTGGTGCTACCTCTGAGCAGGTGGCCCTGAGCTGTTTTAGAAAGTGGACCAGGCAAGCCACAGAGAGAAATCCTGTAGCAGCCTTCCTCCATGTCTTCTACCCCAGTGCCAGTCCTGACTCCTCTCAGTGATGGACTGGAATGTGGAACTAGGCTGACATTAACCTTTTCCTCCCCACGTTGCTTTTGGTCATAGTGTTTTCCCATAGAAATTGAAACCCCAACTAAAACAATTTCTTAACATTTTATTCAGATATAACTCACATGACCTACAGATCACGTGTTCAGCATGGTGATCTTACTATAGTCACAAACCTATGGAGCCATAAGCACAGTCACTTTAGAATATTTTTGTCACTTCAAAAGAAACTGTGTCCCTTAGTGGTCAGCTGACATTTCCCCCTTCCTATCAGGCTCAGACAGCCACAGAGCTCCTTTCTGTCTTGAAGATTCCCTCTCCTGTCTATTTTGTATAAATACGATCATTCAATATAGGGTTTTCCTCTTAGCATAATATCTTCAAATTTCAATAATATTGTAGTAGTATGTATCAAAATTTATTTCTTAATTTTGCTGCTGAATGTTTCATTGTAAGGATACACCACATTTTATTCCATCCACCAGCTGATAAATATCTAGGGCTATATATTATAAATAATGATGCTGTGAATATTTTTATGAAGATATGCAGTGTTTTAGAATATTTTATGTATATGCATGTGTGCCTGAGTATGTATGTATGCACCACATGCATGTGGGTACCTTCAGAAGCCAGAAAACAGCTTCTGATCCCATTAAGCTGGAGTTACAGGTGGTATACAACCACCTGATATAGGTTCTGGGAACTGAACCCAGGTCCTCTGCAAGAGCAGCAAGTTCTCTTAAGCCCTGTGCCATCTCTCCAACCTGCAGAGGTTCATCTTTTTAGTATTAACCTAAGGATTCAGATGCTCAGAGGAGCGATCCTTAGAGCACACACTTGTGTATGTGCATGTATTGTGTGTATGCATGTGTGTATGTGTCCCCGCATCATAATCATATGCAAAAAGCCGGCAAGCATGGATGCTAAGTCCCTCAGATTGCTTCCTTTCCGTTGGAACCTTCTGGGTGATCCTGGGACTTGACTCAGTCTCAGGTCTCCAAGGGGGATTATGTCATCCCTAGAAGGAAGGTGGCAATGCCAGCTTGTGACCCTTACAGGGCAGTGTGAAGATAAATGGAAGAAGTCCAATGGGCTCTACTCTTCCGAGAGTCCATATGAATAGGCTAGCGTGTGCTCCCAGATGGAGGGTGTTGTTGGCTCCCAGGCACCTGTTGCAGCTCAGAGCCCATGGCTTGGGGCTTGAGAGCATGGATGGTATTAGTCTCCATTTATGATGACATTAAGATGTGGTTTCTCTTGGGATTAGAATCTGGTCATCTCTTGAATCCCAGAGACTATTCCCTAAAGAAAAGCCTAGCTCTTTTCTGCTTGACCATGCTGGGCAGGGCAGGGGCAGGAGAAAGGGCAGGGTCCCATCTAGTGACTAGTGCCCAGAGGGTCAAGCTTGAATTCTAAAACTTATCTTTGAACTAGTTCTTGGAATGATCACCCTACCCTGTGATCACCCTTTTCTCTGTAAAGTACCTTGTTCTCTATAGAACCCTAGAGTACCTCCTTCCATGAAAGTCCTTCCGTGATCCCTTGACTTCTGGAGAGGGGTTGAATCCAATAAGGCCTCCTGTAGAGAGGTACTGAGAAGTCAGGTGATGGAGAGGTGTCTTAAAACATCTGAGGGTCCTATGTAGTCTACCAACTTCCTTGGGTCTCTTGGGCTTTAAAATCAGGCCCCAGGAGATGGCCCTGAGAGGCATCTCTATGTTAAATGGAACAGTAAATGAACTGGCAGGCATGCCTGGGGCACACCCTAATATCACTATTCACTGGTTGTATGAGCAAGGGCATGTACCTCCCCCACCTGAAATGACTTAGTAGTAGGGCGTGCCTGGTGGGCAGATTCACTGTGGAGACTTCATGGGATGTGCTACAGGGGCTCTGCCTGCATCCCGAGCTTTACCAATGTTCGCTTTAAAGTCAGAATTGAGGCCCACGAGCAGGCCAATGTTCTGTTGGTCAGTTAGTTGAACTCACTTAATTGGGCACCAGTTATGCAGCAGATACTAGCAAAAGGCCTGGGAACAAAACTTACCTTTCCCCCAAGGTTGCAAAATTCAGGTGGAAAAGAAACTAAACATTATGAAGTTTTTGTTTGTTTGGTTTGAGACAGGGTCTCACTGTGTAGCTCTGACTGGCCAGGAACTCACTATGTAGACCAAGCTGACTTTAAACTCAGAGATCTGCCTGACTCTGCCTCCCAAGTGCTGGGATTAAAGTGTGCACCACCATGGCCAGCTCCTCAGACTTCTTAAAGAATACATAAACAAACAGCAGTCCTGACAATGCCGTTCAGGTTCAGAGAAGAGAGACGGCAAAAGTGTCTGGAAGGGTTGGGCAAGGCCACAAGGAAAGCAATACTCTGAGGTGAGCAGTTGCAAGGCAAGATGAATTCCATCAATAGAGCGGAGGGAGGATTGGGGACAAGGGGAGTGGAGGACAGAGTAACATGTACGGCAGAGGCAGTGAGTGACAGCCTAGAGTAGTCAGGGCACAGCGCTGGTCTAGACCTGAGCCAGCATCAGCTTTCTGGTGTTAGTTCCTTCCTCACTGCCAGGGGTCTCTGGGTACGACAAGGCAGGCATCTCTTAGTGATCTGTTCTACCAATAATTACTCTTCCTCTGAAACTTCTTATCAATAACTTCTTATCAATTTCCGTATGAATGAAAGGAGAAGGGAGACCGAAGTTACCATTGCAGAAAGAGCCACATAGTGGCAACTGTTGGGCTCCTGTAACCAGCCCCCTTCTCTGGGGATGAACACTTTGATTGCCTTTGGGGGAGTCACCCTTGTTACTCTCAACCCAGGTGGCGTTGGAGAAGATGACACCCCCACTCCACGGCAGCAATAGATGCAGGCCTTTCCACGTTGGTTCTGTGAGACCCAAGCCTAAGTCCAGCTGGAGCGGGATGTCAGTGGGATGTGGACTGAGTTGCTGGCAGCCACACTGCCACTATCACGGCAAGTCCTTCTGGGAACAGAACCTGACCAGGAGCCAAAGGCGAAGGATGGAGAGAGAAGGACTCAGGGTATCTTCCCACCTAGCGCCACTGTACCAAAGCCTCGGCTTTCAACATGAGGGGAGATATACCATCTTTTTGCCCAAGTCTCTTCACTCTCGGTTTAGATTATGTTCATTGACAGAATCCAGATTTATGCAAGTATGTGGCTCCTGTTGGGGTTTTGATGACGTCTTCTTAGCATGGATAGATGCAAACCATTGCTCAGAGTGGCCTATGTCTGCAGTAACAGAACCCATGTGCTGGGCATAGCGGCCCCTGTACTCATCCTCAAATGGTGCGCTCGGGGTTGCAGAAGGCTACACCAAGATGCAAACTGCCCTTCTTTCTCCCTCCTCTGCTCACCCAGGAACTCTCCTCAGACTCCTGACTTCATTCCTCCTTTTCTTAAAGTAAGGAGTTATTGAATCTACTAAGTATATTTTTGCAAGACCCTGAAACCCCAGGGAGGAGCAAGAAACGGAAGACTGGCAAGTCTTAGTTTTGTTTTTTGTTTTCCTTTTTGCTCCTTAGGGGAGAATCAGCTATTTCTTTTATTTCCTGTTCCATGCTGTGTCTTTTAGAAAGCATTAACTTTATGGTGATGGGATTTGGCTAGTTTACAATTTCCTGGCTACCTCTTCTTGGATCTGAGCACAGATAATTCACGGGGTAGGAATAATTTCCTGCTTCCTGGCTAAGAACTCGTCCTCTATAGTTCTTTCTGGGGGGGTGAATTCGCCTCTGAATGAGAGGCAGGAATCTTTGAAGACTCCAGTCTATCTTTGACCCAGATCTGGGAGTGGGAGCGCAGGGGTTGAGGGAAGGGGGGAGGAACAAGTGGAAGGCAAGGAGCAGGAACACAGGCACTCACCTCTGTCTCTGTGGTGGGGGGGCTTTCTTTCTGGGGTGGTGACAGCCGCTGCAATCACACTGGGCTCCCAGGACGCTGCAAGTAGCCTGCTGAAAAGGGGCGGTTCCATTCACCATTAGAAGGGAGTGTCCATCCAGAAAAGGAGGCCTTTATCCCCTGGAGGTTGTTGAGCCACTTGTCCTTTCTTTCTATGGTGTGAACGGAGCAGAGGAGACACCAACCCCCCAGGGAAAGGCTGGGTGAAACCATACACCCCACTGGCCACTTAGCAGGAGGAAGGTAAGGCCGCCCTGTCCAGCCCCTGAAAGGTTGGCTGGCATTGGTATGCCTACAGAAGGCCAAGGCCAAGAGCCCATGTTCTTTCATTTCCCCTCTGATGTGATTTATTTTTGGACTAGACACACAGGCTATTTGGGGGCTGGACAGCTGCCAGGTGAAAGGACAAGTATGTTGGCCAAGTTGTGTCTATGCCCTGCTCTGAACTTGCCCTTGTCCCTTCCCCCACATGAGATGGGGGGGGGGGGGTCTTGCTCTGATTAACTTTTGCAACTCCGCATGCTTTTTCAACTAGTTGATCGCTGCCCTCTGAGCATGCAATGGGAACTGTCTTCCCTTCTGCATGTGAAGCAGGTGGGTTCTGAGGCTGGTGGTCGTGCCACATAGGCAAACACACTATTCCAAACAAGGAGACCCTCTAGTCAACACAGGGCAGACCCTGAGGCTAGAAGGCAATGTGTAAACAGTGCTGGAAAGCTAGGCTCGGTGACCATGCACCCAATTCTCCCTCGCTCTCCTGGTAGTTCCTGTTTCCTAGGCTTGTGGGGCACAGCGTTGAAGTGGGTAGATTTCTCACCTCCCATTCTTTGTCACTGAATGAGAATGGAGAGCTGAAGCAGGCATGCTTGACCTGATGGCGTGCACCTTAGCCTCATCGCCTCCACTGTCACAGCTCTTACTCCTGGGCTCTCTCCCCTGACCGCCGTCTCTCCCCTGCCCCAGCCCCTTTCATCCTCGGGGCAGCCAACCCTTTGCTCTGTGTGGTGGCCAGGGAAGCTGAGATGTGGAAAGGCTGAACCTTACCTTCAGAAAGGTTGAGGTGCTGGCTCCAGACTGTCTGCCTCCAGGGCTGGCGCTTTTTGACCACTTTGCTCTGCTGCCTTCTCAAGTAGAACTGGTTAAGATTTTGCCTCCTTTCCCCCCAGAGAACGAAGGAACTAGAGCCTCAGGGGCGAATCAGACCCATTCATTCAGCCTTCAATTTCATCCCCAAATTCAGATCTTGAAGAGGAGACAATAGCTTTTTTGTGTGTTAACTGTCCCAGGCTGAGTCTAGGTACAGGATGGAATCTCTGCTCTCCCTTGTCCTTGGAGACATTTCCCTGTGAGTGATTCACTGTGCAAACATTAGAGCAAGCTGGGTCGAGCTGCCCAGGCTGGTCTCCCCACCCGTCTGGGCTCAAGTGCCCAGTTTCTTTAGGAAGAGCCAGAGGTAGCACTCAACTGCTTGTCCAACGCTGCCCTCTTCAGGCTCTTGTGTGCCATTACACCAGGGCAATCATCTACCGACTATCTCAAAAATGAGTTTTTAGAATCCTTTCCCAGGTCCTTCAAAAGTTACTTTGCCAGGGAATGTGTCTGTGCCGATAATAATTCTTCCCCTTTTGTATAATAGTTGAGAATTCACATCACCCTTGCAAATCTAAGTAAGGTGTCTTTGTCCAAAATGAAAAAGAAAAGAATATCTCCAGATTTCCTAATGATCCAGACGTTTCCTTTGGTGATTTAAATCAACTTTCTTTAATGATAAATTAAGCATTTCCTCATTGAACAACCACTTCCCCTATTGGTTCATTATTGATCGCTAGAACTGCAGAAGCAATTCAAGGTAATATTAGAAAAAAAAATCTCGGGGGCTGGAGAGATGGCTCAGTGGTTAAGAGCAGTGTCTGCTCTTCCAGAGGTCCTGAGTTCAATTCCCAGCAACCACATGGTGGCTCACAACCATCTGTAATGAGGTCTGGTGCCCTCTTCTGGCCTGCAGATGTACACACAGACAGAATATTGTATGCATAATAAATAAATAAATATTTAAAAAAAAAAAAAATCTCTGTGTATTTGTGTGTGTGTGTGTGCGTGTGTGTGTGTGTGTGATATGTGCACACCTGTTTTATGGGCATGCCAGCTGTCTTCTTGTATTGCTCCCTGCCTTAGTCTTTAAGATGGGTCTATTGCATTCATGACCAAGTTACTTACGGTTAGTTACATGGACATGGGTGAGAGATTATGAGATCATGAGCAATTTACCGATAGCCAGACCACTGAAGACACTGTCTGCCCTCCTCTCAGGGGAAGGTGAGGATTCTTGGGCCCCTCCCCATGTGTGTCAGAGCACTGTCGGGCAGAGTCTTGCGCAGGTCTGATACAGGTAACGACAACTGCCGTTTCATGAGTGTGATATCCATGTCAGAGTGGAAAGAATTCATTCTGCAGCGCCCCTCCCTGTCTTCTGGCTCTTACCTTCTTTCTGCTTCCTCTTCTGTCACGTTCCTTGAGCCTCGAAACGATCGATATAGATGTCCCTTGACCTATCGATTTCAACGTTCAGGGGGGCATTTTTTAGAATTGCTTCAGAAAACAGAGCAAAAAATTCATGAAGATTGCTGCTCACCAGGGCTGGCTACTGCTGCCTGCGAGCAGCAGGGTCATGACCCATGCACTGAGCATCTGCCCTCTGTCAGGCCTTTGGGCACCAGATATAAACACAGTGAGCAAAATCCAGCTTGCTCCATGCTGACTTCCTCGCCATGGCTACCTTCAGGACACTGAGCAATGGAAGCACGCAGGTTAATAATTACTCAAACGAGCCACGGGAATTCAGCTTGTTGAAGTGCGAGCACAGCGGGTATTTAGTGAGGCAAGAATGCACAGTGGACATTGACCCTGGGAGCCAGCTTTGTTCCTGGTGAAATGGGTGAAGGCAGCAGGCCCTAGGGGCATGAAATCTAAACCAAGAATATAGCTTCATAAAGCTCTAAGAATCTGGAAAAAAAATCATGGAGAAACCTCAGGAAAGGAGCTTCTAGACAGTTAAGAGAAAGAAAGAGACTGTCGTGTTTGGTTTCTTGTTGCTGCGACAAGACACTGACCGAGCTTTTCATATGGGCACGTGACCAGGGAGAAATTCTCACCAAACTCCTAATCACGGCTACCTCTAGAGGGCATGAGAATCAAGCCAAACTAGCTGGGTCTCTGGTGGTGGCTTTCTACTTAATCCTCCTCTCTCCCTGGATTAGATTCTCAAAATACACTCTCTCCATCCCTGCTAACATTCAAGTATCTCACCTGCAACCACGCCAGGCAGTGGTGACGCACACCTTTAACCCCGGTATTCGGGAGGCAGAGGCAGGCAGATCTCTGTGAGTTCAAGGCTAGCCTGGTCTACAAAGCCTGTGAGTTCCAGGATAGCCAGGGTTATGTAGAGGGACCCGGTCTCAAACAAAACAAAACAACACCAATAAATAAATAAATAAAACCACCTGCAACAAACTTCCTAAGCTCTTCCTGGGGTCTGCTTTCCCTTTTCCAAAGGAGCTTACCTCCTTACCCAGGAAAAGCACCGCTCCCATACCGTCTCTCACTCAGGGAAGACCTGAATATGCTCTGGTTATAAATACTCTCCTAGTGACTGGAGGTAACAAAGACTGGGGAAATTTGATTGTCAGCTTGAGATCCTTGGAATCAGGATGGAAACATATCTCTAGGTGTGTCTGTGAAGGTATTTTCAGAGAGAATTCACTCAGGACTGGGAAGACCTTCCTTCAGTAGGGTACCACATCTCCCTGGCAGCCCGGATATGAGGAGGTGGAAGGAGAAAGTGGAGTCAGCTGCCACCTTTACTCCTTCCTGAGAAGGTTCATTTAGGGGTGCTATGTCGACCTCCGCCAATAGACTCCCGCTTCTCTGGCCTCTCAATGAAGACTGACCATCAGCAACTCTCCAGGGACTTCAGTGTTGGACTGAGACTGCTAAATCATCCAGCTTCACGGACTGGGCAGCTATGGGGGTCTCTGTGTGCCCCAGCACGCAGATGGCCATTATTGGACCACACAGGCCTATCGTATAAACCAAATCTAGTAAACTCCCATTTCATCAGATACACGCACGCACGCACGCACACACACACACACACACACACACACGCACACACACATACACACACACACACACACAGGTGCGTGTTCATGCATTCCATTGATTGCGTTCCTTTAGCTCACACTACCTCTGCCTAACACGCTCACTAATATCGACACATCCATTTGCAGTTGGCTGGGTGTAGGGCTCATGGGTCTACCCCTGCTCCCGGGGTTCATTTTGAGGACAGTCTCTGGCCAGCCAGCGTTTCCTGTTTGTTCCTGTACTTCTTCTGCCCTGACTGGTGATTAGCTATAGGGCATTGTTTACTCCATCTTGGGTGTGGCAATTTCCCACCTACCTGGGGGGAATTCCTTGTGCAGCAGCTAGGTATGTAAGGATTTCCCCAAGGTTGAATAAACGACTTTGGGCTGATCTCCTTTGGAAGGACCCAGGTCTCTTGTGTGTTCTTCCAGTCTCCAGGCCCTTGCCCCGCTGGCGCTGGCGTAAGGTACAGTGGCGCACGAGTGAACTGTACCGAGAGTAACGCAGACGCAGGTGTTACAGCTGGGAAGCCTGCTCCGTGTCAAGTACCACTGAAGAAGCTCGAAAACTATGTTTTCAGGAAGGAGAGGAGAGATGCTTGCCAATACACTGGAAGTGACTTCTCACACTTCAGTGACCAAAGAAAGTCCTATATGCACAGGAAATGAGGTAGGACATTTCAGGGCTATTGTTTTCTTGCAAGGTGGCAAGGCCCTAAATATAAGGAAAACATGAATCCTGTAATTGTTGTGTTCACAGAATAAAGTTTGCTAAGCCTGTTCAAATAATACACATGGATCCCTGCTCATTTATCTACTCCCTTCAGTGTCATAGTTATGCATTTGAAGCTGTATTATATGGCATATGCAAATTTTATAGCCATTGGGAGTTAAACTTTTTATAATCATGTATTCCTCTTTATCCCCATATTGTTTTTAGTCTAAAAGTCTTTGTCACATAGTACTGTAAGTCCTATTTAACTTTATTATAATTTTATTAGCATTTATATTATCACTCTAAAATTTCATTTTAATACAAAGTTTCAGACCTTTTTATGAATAGTACATAAAGTTTTAGCCAGTTCTATGATTGACTTTTAATTAAAGCACTTAGTTCATTTACATTTAATGTAATAGTCAACCTTCCTAGACTTAAGCCTAATGTGCTCTTCCTCTCAGTACTGGGAATTATACCCAGGGCCTTCAAATGTTAGGCAGGTGCTCTACTATTGAGCTACATCCCTAACCCCTTTTATTTACTTTGAGACAAAGTCTTTCTAAATTGTCCAAGCTGGCCTCAAACTTATGATCCTCTTGCCTCAGTCTCTGGAGTAGCTGGGCCACAAGCATAAGCCACCACTCCTGTCTTTAAATTTCCATCTTATTGATTATTTCACTTTATTTATTTATTTATTTATTTATTTATTTATTTATTCATTCTTTGCTTGTGATGGGGTTTTCACATATATGCCAATCCTCCTGCCTCTGCTCTCCTAGTTTTAAATGACATTTATTGTGTGTGTGTGTGTGTGTGTGTGTGTGTGTGTTCTGTGCTTTTTATTCTTTTTCACTGTTTTTGCAGCAATTGAATATTGTATTCTTCCCTCCACTGTGCTGGAAGTTGTAAATCCCTTGACTGTTCTTTGCAGGTGGCTCTAGAACAACAATGCGGAATCACAAGTTCTCAATGTCTAGTGTTAGTTGGCACTTCTATCTTTTCCCATAGTATTGTAAGGAACTTTGAACATTTTCATCCTCATTCCATTTGACTCCTCTGCTGGCCTGTATGTGCTGCTAAGATACTTTCCTGTTCTTTAGATCCTGACCGACATTGTTATGTTGTATCTCTGCCCTGCATTGTCATAATCTGTCGTCTTCAACTGTTTTTGCTTTTCCACAAAGAACACCTTTTGGTTTTTGTGCTTGTAAAAGTTCTTGAATCTGTATTAACTTCTTTTTTTTTAAA